TGGAACAAGCCTTTCATCAGAGCAGTGCAATTCATCACTTCCATTTTCACATCTGTGCTGAAATCTTCTGTTTTTCTTTGTAATATAATTAACTTGATAAGCACATAAACTACAAGCCTGATCTTATACACTTTGAAATCAATAGGAGTTTTCTTTCTATCTTCTGTAGAGCAGGACCAGATACAGGATAAGCTAATCCACCGGGGAGTTCTTACATGCCAAACCCTATGGAAAAGACAAATCAGAAAGTCAATCTTAATGAAAGCCACTTCTTAATGAACATCATCACCATCCTTTAAATGTGCTGTAAGAGTCGGAAGTTACTCTCTTTTGAAACACTGTAAAATAAAATGAACTTTAAATTGGTGCCATTTTGCAGTTTTGGGAAAACAATATCCCTTTTCATATCACTTTCAGTGATTTGAAACCACGGCTACTATTTCCACTGAAAAACCTTACTAGTTCTTGCAGAAATAACTGTACAACAGTTTCAAGACAGACAGTTTAAGACATATTTACTAGTCTGGTTTTTTTCAAAATAGTTTGATCCATGCTGCCCCTCACTAAACAGAAAATGTTTTTCATTTAGATTTGCCCTTTTTTTAATTCAAGTTCGGAGAAGAAAAATGGCCAGATTTTGGAAATGTTTCATGCTCTGCCTTAATCCTTCATACTGAAAAAAAGCTTACATTTGGGTCTCATGGGTCAATTTGTTGAAGATAAATGGATAGTACTTCTCAAAATAATTTTTATTTTAATCATTCCTTAGAGAAGGAAATATGTAGGAATATTTTCTAAACCATTCATCAGTAAGTTGAAGATTACATTATAGAAATCTGTGACATTTGTGGGATTTGGCCTGGGATTTGGAATTCAAAGGCTAACAGAGTGATTTCCCAGGCTTCAAAAGAAATCTTTTCACTTACGTAGTTGTTTAACACTTTTGTTAGTGGTGAAGTTCATACTCTTAATCTGATAATATCTGCAGCTGTGTGTTAACCAAGAAAAAGGTGTTACAAATGGATAAGTGCTGAGTCATGTGTAGCCCCAGAAATGCCATCAGCCTTAGCATAGTTTGTATTTTGCAATTTACCTTATCCAAATACAGCTTCCTAACATATTCTTGAATGGCTCAGAATCCTGCTCTGGATCCCCTGAGAGGCTGCATTATTTTCTGTCCTAAATATACAATTTTGTGAAACATATGCTTGGGTAGTGGCCTGCCAAAAGCATCCTGGGTTCCATACAACTGCACTGTAGGTTTTTCCTTATTTCCGTGGTTATTACATTCTTTCTGGCAGCATCAGATACGAGCCTGAAATTGATTCTAATGTCTCTGCCAATCTTGCTTCACTTTAGAAGGCTGGTCCTTCTCCCAATTACACTGACTTTACAAACATCCATAGTGATAATGGCTGTGACTAAAAATGTTGTCAGGCATTTACTGCTGTTCAGTGCAGTCCATACCTTCTTCAGAGCAGCTAATTGTTTAGCTAATTATGCTTTAAAGCAAAAACTGACACAATCACATGCCACTGGTTTATGATCAGGATAGCTTCAATTTTACATTGCCTAGAATACACTTTCAGTGACAAATTGGAAATATCAACCCTTTATTATTCTAGGTCACTTGGGGAGTATATATTCATACACTGAATATGTAAATCTCATAACTGAATAACACTCCATGCAATGTATTTAAGAGACGTTTCTTAAGCTGTGACCAATACTTACTCAGCAGGATGTGGAAACTTCTGTTCATGCTCTGGGTTCCTCTCTCTTCACGATATGAAGTTTCAGAGACAGTTTAAATGTTTTATGATTGTCTGTGCAGCAAAAAAAGTGCCTGTTCTGTTCACCTAATGTAAGAAAATGGGAGGAAGAGCCAACAAAATGCAAATTTGGTAGTAGGGTGGTCTGTCAATTTTTGCTTGGGAAGAGGTTCCCCAGCCTTTCCTATGGAGGTGTCCTCAGTGAAGGATGTGGATTAGGTGCTTTCCCTACCAGCACTAGGTAAAGGATATCTGGGAATTACAAATAGTTCATGACTGGGAGGCAGAGAATGGAAAGGAAAATAGGGTAATGGAAATTAGAATTGCATGAATAATGGAGTTGCTCTTTGGTGACCCAACTGAAAAATTAAACCAAGAAAATTCATTTTGGGTCAGCCCAAAGCACTTGTCCAACTCAACATGAAACAGCTCGGTTTGCTTTCAAATCTCTTTTCAACCTTTGAAAGAAATGTACAAAAAATTCTAAACCAAAACACTATTTATTTAGAAAACTGTCAAAATGAAACATTTCAGCATGATTTTCCTTTTTTGAGCTGTAATTATTGAATTGAAACCCAGCTTGCCTGACTGAAAGTGTATTTTTATTTTGTTTTAGTCGGTAATTGTTAGTCCCAGACATTTCCCCCTGTTGTAAGGGAAGCCTACTCCAACTTCTACTTCCTTCGTCTGTTCAAAACTGACCATCACCACCACCCTTCACACGCCCACAGATCACATGTACCCTGCAAGAAAACCTATGAAGGAAATTCTACAAAATTTGCTGTGTGGCATTTCCAGGGCACCAGCTCATGAGGTTTCCGTGGTAAAGTCTTCCAGCTGGTGGTTTTTAGGGTTAATAATTAGTTGACTTCATTTTTATACTTTTGTGGACAGATGGGTTTTCATCTGAGTTTAGCCCCAGTGAGGAAAGCTTGAGAGATTGATTTGAAAATTATGGGTAGGGCAGCTCAACAAGGAAAATGTAGAAGAGGCCTAGAGGAAGTAGAACAAGGAAATAAGTTATTTATCCACCTGTGAAGCAATTATATCATGGAGGAACAGCATGTGTGTGGCTCATGATCTAGTCTCTACTTATAATTAAGGAAGAAAACAGGTACTTTTAGGGCAAAGTCATGTTATACTGTCCAAAGTCACAGTCTTCATAAGCCTCTAATGTAGACCAGAGGAATGACACCTGAATAATTCCTCTTACCTTCCATTGACTACAAAGGGAGACAGGTGTAGTTTGGGGAAAGACAGTGTATGTCAAAGGTCAGTGGAGTGAACTGTTCATTTGATGTTTAAATTCCCTCCCTTTGCTGTCACCAGACACAAGCTCAAGTGATAAGAGAAAGGATGTTGGGCAGTAGCTCTTGACAACATTACTGCCTATTCCACAAGAAAGGAAATATGTATTCTACTGAATATAGCAAAAGGTTAAACACCTGACACTGTCACGTGGTTCCACATCTTGGCTGGCTGTCACTGTTGGGTCACTTCTGCCTTGACTGTGAACAGGCACGTAAATCATACATTGTGAAATGCAAATGAGAGTGTATGGAGAACAGTAAACCATGCTGAATGCATCTAATTTGATAGGTAACAAGCATCCATTACTCAAATGGATCATATGCCAGTCTAATATGTGATTTCCTATAAGAAAATGTTATGATTTCAGTTCACATAAACCTTGTTCAAAACAGGTATGGATGGATGCTTTTAAATGCATCTTTAAATTGCTCTGGCTCAGAAGCAGCAACTTTTAAATGAGGACAGAATACCTGTTGCCCTGATGAATAAATGGTAAGGCCTTGGTCAAGAAGACTTCAGCAGTTGCTGAAAATCTGCTATTATGTACTTCCTCTGGCTTTCTGACTATTTGGATGCTTTTCAAGCCTTTAACCTTGGTCCAGTCACCAATTTCTCGGGCTGCACTAGAGCAACTCTTCTGTCTTTGCCCAGGAGACATTGTTGAAGGACATGATAATGACAGATTAAACTGCTCTTCAGTGACTTGGGCTTTTTTCTGTCTTGGAGCTTGTGTCAAGAGTAAGTATCAAACATTCCCTTCTGAAGGACTCTCAAATCCCTAATGCTGTAGAACCCCATTTGTGCTCAGCACGCCTATGGATGGATCAGTGAGAATGCAGCACTCTGAGTTTTCATTAGCAACTGCTTCCTGACTGTCTCCATTTCATCTGACCCAGAGGGACAGTTTGGGGCCTTTCACCAGCAGCTATTCAAGATGGAGATCTTTTCTCTGGGCATACTGAGGCAGAGTGATGAACCAAACCCGTGACTCTCAGGAGTGATGCTGTTTTTCCCACTGCCCCGCGCAAGAAAGGCTGATCGACACGCTCCTCGCTAAGCCCTAGCCTGTGATAAGTTGGAATTGCAGCCTTATGGTAAGGAAGCATGTCCCCTGACTGAGCTTGCATGCTTTGTAGATACAAAAGTACAGCCATTAGGCCAGCAACGCCACAGGCATAACATGTGTCATCTCCCCTGTGTCTAAAGAAAAGATAAAAGCTCTGCAAATGGCAATGTTTGGGGACTAAAATATTTATTATAATAAATTAAAGTGCAAGCATTTATAAAATATTCCATTGCATATAAATATCACACAGCAGTGTTACTTTCATAGTTCACTTAAAACGTTCTGGTACAGTTTCATAAATACATTTCCTTGAGTATTTTTCAATTAATCTATATAAATAAAAGTATTGTATAATTATTACCTTAAAATAAGTTACTATTAAATACAAATGACGAAAAATATTTCTGAATTAGTCTGAAATACCAACTTTTCGGGCAAAGGTCAGAAGGGGGCAACATATTCAAGACAGACCTCCAGGTAAGAGCCTCAAAACTTTCTGGCTACCTTTAACTGCCTACCTTGATCAAAGCTGATCCATAGGTGTCAAATTTCAGCATATAAAAGACAGAAACAGTTGCCTCATTCCTATGGAGAGGAATGGAGCAACTCCATCCCCTCCTATGGGGAGGACAGGAGCGTGCCTTTGAAAATAACTAATGGCCTGTGTTGAAAGGGAGCTGCATTGTCCTGGAATTTTCATTTTCCAAGAAGGCAGCAATATGCATCCTGTCTCTGCCCACTTAGTTTGCTAGTTTTGACACAAGTGAAAAATATATTGCATCTGGGGGAATGGGTGTAGTTGCTGTAACAGCTAATCAGTTTGAGTTATCACAAGATTTTTCAGAGACATCTCTTCAAGCCTGTTCCAAAATTTTTTCAGTTTTTCTCCTTGTTCCCTCCCTTCTTTGGGATATCAGTGCAGGCATTTTCCATGTAGTCAAACAGTAAATCCAGTTCTCCAATGGCTTTAGTCTTTCCATTTTCTCCCAACTAGAAAAGAGCAGAATGTGAGTCTTAGGAACTCATTATTTCTCAGAAAATTGAAATTAGGATTGTCACAGAAACTGAACCAAGAACTTACTTTCCTAATTCTTTCACATAGTTCTATTAGAGTCATTATGCCATAAGATATAAACTAGCTTGTTCAAATCTAGACTAGCATATACAGTTCCTGCAACATAAATTTTTAAGGTTTAAATTACCATAACATGTGCAGAGAGTTAACAGGACAAGTGAAGGAGGGCTGGAAGGGGAAACATTACTAATCCTCTCTTTAATGCCCCAGCAAGCTTCACCTCCTAAATAATCTCCAGAGTTTGTTTGAGGTCAGATTTAATCCAACTAAATGATTGGTGTTTGAAACTGCTCTTTTTAAATGTTTGGAAAAAAATGTACCTGTTCCATTTTGTTCTTCATTTGTTCCAGGTTCTTTTCAATGTGCTCTCTGTTTCCTGAGGATTTCTAAAAAAAGGGAAACATCCAGACATAAGATTGACAGTTGTATACAGCAACATGCTTGTTGTGTTTTTTTTTCTTTTTCACACCTTTCTATCAACTCTGAGTTTCATATCTTTGATCTGAGGTTTCCTTTCATATCACTGCCTTTTGCCGCTGTTTGTAGCATTCTGAGATTCAGGAGCAGCAATAAGAGCCAACATTCACAGGGAAAGAAACCCAATGTTACTCACACATTTGCTCAGCTCCAAGGTCAGGGATGCCAAGAACTGTGCCACCTCCTCAACATGTGGGTACTGATTCTTGCCCTCAGTGAGGAGAACATCTTTTACCACAATCTCCACAACCCTCTTCATCAGGTAGCAGCGGTTGTTTTCCTATGTATGAAAGCAAGAGATCATGTTAAATCAAAGCAAGAGATCAGTGAGTGCTGCAAAGAGCAGACTCCTCGAGTGAGGCTTACCTTGATGTTAACATAGAGGTGCTGCCCAATCAATCTGTTATCTGTGTCCTTGTCCGAGGCACTGGCCTGAGAGTAAAAAAAGGAAATGTCAGGTGGGGATGGGAACCTTACCTGAAAATGAATAATAAACACTAAGGTTTTCATCATTAATCAAAGTGCAGGTGAAATGAGGGAATGGACACCACAGACAGTCTGTTACAGGTAGATAAACCTGGATAGTGTCTGTTTCTCCCTTCAATTGGATGAGATTTAAGGTCAGTATCACTGGAAAATAAATAAGCAGAAGTCTGAATTCATGTCCTCCTCTTAAAAGTCTGATGTCGTAGAGGTGACAATGACTAAACCAGATACTGCAGGTGGCCAACCTCATGGTGGCCCACAGCACTGCCGGGAGGTGCTGCAGCCCTCGACGGTGTACACTGTGGGAGACCCACCCATGGCAAGAGCAGCCAGGAAACCCGCCCAAGCAGAGCACTGTAAGATGCCTGAGCATCTGCCTGGCTGTGACTGAAGTCACGGACAGACCCAGCTCCAAATGGACTGGGTAAACTGAGAAATTTAATCTCATGTTTCACGATTGTCCCATTTTAGCAGCAGCTGCTTGAACAGAAGGAGCTGTGCTGTTCCAGGAGCTGCCTTTCCCTTGGGGAGCAGGAGCAGGAGGAGGAGAGGCAACAGCTTCCCCTGCCTACACAACCAGTGGGCAACAGACCCACTCCACACACCCAAGCTCTGCCTTAACTGCAAATGCACATTTTTGCTCTGGAGAAAGGCATGGTAAAGAGAGAACAATACCAAAGGCTAGAAGCCAGGACAGAGGAGTAAGTCCTCAGATCCCACTATGAAGAACACGTAGGTTACTGTACCATTTTAGCCAAGGTGTAGGTGCGATTCCTGATGTAGGGCTGCTGGAAGTTGATCTTCCTGAGCCTGCAGGCATGATGGGCAACAGAAGCCCCTTTCAGAGGCAGAGAGCTGGTGAGAAGAAGAGGGAGACAGCAACAGCAGCAGAAGAAAACCCATCCTGGGAAGCTCTTGGACAAGGTCTGCAGGTAGGCCATGGCTCACGGTCAGAGATTGTCCGTCCCAGCAGGTTACAGCTATTCAGCACTGATGAGAGAGAGAGCAGGGTTAGCATCAGGGAGAGTGGTAAAAGCAAAGTGAGAGCAGCACAAAGACTGCAAGCCTTACCTTTGCTGTGATTCTTGATGTGCTCTGCAGGAGGTGGCTGCACCTTATATAGGGCCAGCAACATCACTCTCAGCTTTTTTTTCTCTTTTGGGTACTGGTGGTGAAATAAAAATGACATCAGCAAGTCTCTTACTTTCCAGTATCCTCTTCTGAGAACTATCTAACCACCTCAAAACCCACAAATACAACTTCAAGGGCATCATAATCTTTAGTTTCCTATAAAACAAACCAAATATTAATGTGGGGCAAAGTAGGGGCTTTTACCAGGTTAGGAATCCTGAATTCTTTTTGCATAAAAGTATTCGAGAATTTTATGAGTTTGTGCCTCCTGTCCCAATTGTAACGCACTTATTTGATTGACAATTTGATAGCAGATAATGTAATCTATCTAAACTTTTGTTCATCTTCTGTGGTAAGAGACTGGTGTTTCACTGCTGCTGACTTGTGAACACAAGCAGTCAGAGACTGCAAAAGACCCAAAGCACTGACCACCTATGGTTCCTATCCTGCAAACACCCTTTCCCACACAGTGGCCCAATGGGTCACCAGCCATCTGTCCATCACTGTGAAATGCTCTCTGAGAAATCAGAAACTGTGTAGGACCAACGCTGCATTTTTCACATCCCTGATTTTTCAAAAATTATCCATATTCCAGGCTGTAATCAGGTGTAATGACCAGAACTGTGGTCATGTTCTTTCTTATCCAGGTGATTTCCATGTTCCTAAGCCTCTTCTGCTAACATTAAGGCAGTTCCGCACCTTCAGTCTGAAATATTATGCACAGTGTTAAAGAGAAACAGTGCTCTTTTTAGAGAGTAAGTTACAACCCAGCTCCAGACAGTAATGCATGAGAACACAGAACTGGTACAAATGCAAACTCCTGGGTTGTATAATATCTACAGGACACACAGGTGACAAAGAGGAGAAATCAGACCTGGAAAACCAACGCTCCAGCTCTTCCTCTGAGAGTGAATGTCTGAGAACTCTGAGAATGGGCATCCCTGTGGCTGGGCTTCACCCTTTGTGGCTGAGGTTCTCAGGACAACAGCCATAATCAACCTTAACCCATGGTCTGAAATGCCCAGCTCTTATACCTGAAGGAAGCAGTTAAAGGCTAGGTGGCACCAGGTTTATTCTTTGGCCTCCCCTGATACATCTGCAGCAGAAATTCATCTTTCCAGGTCTCAGTCCTGCCTCAGTTTCCCTCAGACACCTGCCACATCAGCTCTGCACAGATCTGTGCCATTGAAACTGCACCCCCTTACCCTGAAGCCACCATCACCCCCTCCCTTTCTGTGCCCCTCTCAGGTTCCCATTCCCATGACCAACCTCCAACTGCATCCTGACTGCAGCATGCAGCAGAAAGCAAGTATGGAGCCAGAATGTCAACAGTCTCATTCACACCCAAATGTACCACAAAGCTATTCAAGATCATATTTCTAAACTCTTTTCCACATATGTTTCATTTGCCAGGCTAACAGTCCCAGTGGTGGTGCAGGTTAATGAGAAGATGAAATGCTGAGTTATACTTTACTTAGCCAAAAGACAGACATTAAAGACCAAATTGGGAGAAATCCTGAGAGATAGGCTGTTTTGAAGGATTGGCCTCCCCTGAAGTGCATTTCCACAAACTCCTCTCCAGATTTTAAACACAGTCTGATAACCAAAGTCTGTTTCCATCTGAAGTTTGTCACACTTCTCCATCAGTTCATCCATCACAACTGAAGTCTCATACCCAGAACAAAAGCTGTGAACACGCGCTCAGAGCCTCCCTGGTTCAGATTCCCTGTCCTTGCCTTCCTAGCAGGTGCCACCTCTCCATCCCTTTGGCCGCTTACTCTTGTCAGACACAGATCCAGCTTGCCTGATGTCTTCTGGTGGCTCCAATCCCATGGAAAGGGTGCATGACCTAGGCAAGTATGTGCTGTGCCACTCTCATCTGTTCAAACCACTGTGAGGAGCCCTGTTGGTCCCAAGCTTCCCATGCACCCTGATAGACATATAAACAACATCAGGCAGATGAGGAATTAGATGCTGAATCTTTCTTCTGCCCTTTTTTATGCAGTCATTACAGGATATCTTTTGTCTGTCTTCTCTATTATTTGAAACCATCCACTGTGACCCACCTATTTTCATAGAAAACCTCGTTAACCTTGATAAAGCTCTCTTTTTCCCATCTGTATTGTTAGCCTGTATCTCTCTGTCATGCTACTTTTTAGTGGTGTCAAGGTGTCTTCCTTCTGAGACTTGTTTAGTTGTGTAGTTTACCTTGCTACTTCTGATATTCGCCTTTATTTTCCACACACTGAGATGCTGAAGTGTATATTGTAAGTTCATTAATTTGTGTTCTGCAAATTCCCTTTTTATGATATTCTAAAGCCTTTGCATTGTTTAACCTGCTGTTAACAGATGGAACTTATAACTTTCTTTCATCCCCCTAGCTTACTGTATGGTTCAACGCAAAAACAAAGAGTCAAAATCTTACTGGCACTAATTTTAGCAGACTGTATGGTTCCCATGCTCATCAGTCTATTCTTGGCCTCTTCTCAACCATCTTCTACCAAATGACTGTTGGTCCTCCATGTACCACAGAGTTATGGTATAGCCACAGTCATCGTTGCAGTTATTTCCTTAACATGTCAAAAGGATTTCTTTGGAAGTGGGGATATGCCTTCCATTTCCAGGGTCTTCTGTTATGAGATTGCATTGAACAAAGATGTGATTTGCCGCGGCTATCACTTCTTTTGACTGGCTCACCACACCCTCCATGGGAGATATGCATCCAGCATTACATCCTACATGAAGACAGAGCTAATAATGGAGCTAATAAAGACAATAATTTTGAAAATGTTCACAGGTCATTTTTTCTCCCTGCTGCTGTCCCAAGGGTTAAATGTCCCATCACTAAACTCACCTATAAACACTTAAAGTCTAATTACATGGTGCTTCCCTAACTCATTAAGAAACCATAGTGGTAAAATATTCTCGACAATGACTTCTTGACCCAAATTGAAAACAGAGGATTTTTTGAGGATGACTGGAACTCTATATCACATCTGCCTCAAAAGCCACAGACATTTCCTTCTGACTTTGAATGGGGCCGCAGGTGAATAACCAACACCGTACTTTGATGCTCAGCTGTTGAGTATCAGTAGCGGTGCGCTGGCATGCAGGAATTTCCTTGAGCTTTAGTACACTTTGAATCAGCCAGGATTATAGTGCATTTTTAGAAAAGTCAGAATTGGCCACTGGGCTAGAAACACTGTCAAGAGTAGGCATGTGAAAGAGTGAGCCTGTGTATCATCCTGTTGGATCTTTTACTTGGTGATGCAATCCTCCCCGCTTAAACCTTTGTGCGAGTGGACCACAGGTCACTTAACACCTAAAACTGAACATGCAATCTCAACTTTCAGGTCACACTCATACCTTTATTTTGCTCTACCTCATTTGTGAGCTAGTTGGCTGCATTTTATTTTTTCAGCTTTTGCCCAGACTTTCAAGCTTGCAAAGATTAAAGCCGACTATAAAAATGTTTCAACTCAAGCTCCAGTGAAGTCTTATTTTAGTCAGCTCTCTGCCCAGCAATGAAAATATCAGCAATGGAACTTGATTCTTCCTTACAAAACTTGAAAATAAGCTTTTCTGTAATCCAGCTATTCATTATGGAAACATCCTAGTACACAGACAAGTGTCTTCTGTGTATGATCATTAGGAATAGCAGAAGAAATTCAATTTCTGTAGAGAAAATTATAGCAACACAGAGACTGGGAGAGGACATGTAGCATTTTACCATTATATTTTTGCTTGGGTTTTAGGTTTTTATTCATCATAGGTTTAATGTTGTCTAATAAATTGTGAACCTTTTGGAAGAAGGAGGAATAGCACTAAAATTGCTTAGCCTGGGAATATTAGGTGACTGGAAAAGACTTTGGTGTCAGCTCTCAGTAGAGACACTGCTGACTCAGGACTTTAGCAGAGGATGTGCAATTTCCTACCTCCCCTTATAGTAACATTTTTGTAATACAGAGTAATACATTTCCTCTGACAGTAACACTTCAGCTTACATATCTGATATTTCATCAAAGATCTTTGTCTCTGACCTTCACTTGGTTAATTTATTATATAATTTTTAGGTCTTCTAAGTGCAAAATACTATATTAAAATATCACAAAACTGGTATTTCATACCATAAAACATCCAAGAGGAAGGGAACTAATAGTACATTGTGGCTTCGATTTTAAGTTACATTCTGGGACAAAAAACCACACCAACCTCCTGCCCAAAAAAAACTACCAAACAAAACCTCCTTTGTTTAAATAACTTTATTCTCACCAAAGAAACATTTGTGTAGTGGAGATCCAAGAGAAAGTCATCCAGAGACAACACTATACAGCTGCTACCAATGGTATTAATGTGTTAATACGACGTTATTATCAGAACCACTGATATAGTAATTTCTATTGTGTGTGTCAGAAGGATTCAATGATTAATATGAAAACAAAAACCCAAAGAACAGTGTCAGCTGAAGTGCAATAGACGTTAGTCCAGTGGTCTCGCCTCTTCACACAACTCCTGCCAACATCAGTAAAGCATAAAGAGAAGTATTTATCAATAGGAGCCATCACTTAGTTCACAGAGATGAGAGAAAAGAGAATGCAGACCATGCCAGTGCACGCAGCCTCATGTCACCAAAGGCACCACTATTAACCCTTCCACCAGATGGTTAGTTTTTTGAATTCAGTGCATAAAGTCACGTACATACTATAAAACTCTGTCACTTTATATAGTGACCTACATAGATCCAACTATGTCTTGTGAATAGTCAGATCAGGTGAACTGAAACTTCTGTGCTTCCTGTTAATGTGGTGTGGTTGCTCAGCCGTGACTCAGTGACATGGCAAAGTGGAATTACTGACATAGAGTATCTCAAAGAAAACTACTCTTTATAATAATTGGGAATGGAATTTTGCAAACTGGTTTATAATCCAAATTAAATGACACACAGTTACTCGGATTAAGAAATAGCCTCAGCATTGTGCAACTTGGTTTACCAAGTACCATCAATTATCACGTAATAAATCAACACCATTA